ACGAGTACTGGTACGTCGCTTACCGTATGCAAGAGTGGCAATGTTTACTCCTATGAGGGGTCAAACAGCACAAGCGAGACCAAGGCGTGACGGCATCTCAAGTGGTGTTCTGTGTGACTACCAAGCAACCAACCTCCCCGAGACCTTTGTCACTATTCTCGCCCCGCACACTCAATAAGTAGGGACGAAGACATCTGTCGCAGAAGTTCTGACAACAGATCAGCTCACCATTTCCTTGTATAACAGAACCCTCCCGTGAGGATCCAAACGACAGGGACAGCAGTACAATTAAAATGCAACTCCTGGAAGGAACGTACTTCCTGCCCAATTTGCAACGGACAGTGAGTGAAAGACATGCGGTACGCAGTACAGGTAAACGGTAAACCGTCCAAGCTCTAATTTATTCAGAGCTCATACTCACCTTTGGTCTGGTGGGATTTATATGATTGCTTTGCTTGGTTACAAAATTATGCTCTGGTGCAGCAATGGGAGCGAAGAAGGTTGGGTGCTAACGAATGGGGAAAAATAGGCTCTCATGTAGCCATAACCGATGATTAAACACACTTTTCGTTAGAACTGGTTTAGATTTACAGAGGCAAAGACAGCCAAACGGCGTGCCATGGACAGTGGACGAGAAAATGGTCATGGTTGTAGGTAATGTCGGTCAATGGACAAATGGAAACAACCGCATTTAACATGTCGTCGCATAATTGTATCGTTTTAGAAGTTAGTTCAAAAGCACATTGGCGGTAATGCGAGTATATAGAAACAAATTGGTTCAGAACCCATAGGTGGTAATCATCATTTAGTTATAAAAAAGGGAGGAATGTGAGAAATTTGGTTTCCAGCTGCGTTGGACTGCGAAACTTTCGGAGCACTCCGAATTCCTCGGATAGACGGTGCCTGGGATAGACGGTGCAAGGCTACCTGACAGCTGACTTTTAATGACAAGCAGACGCCAGTGGTGAGCCTGTTCTGTCTCTGTCTGTCTTTCCCTACCTCCCCCCCCTCTCTCTCTCTCTCTCTCTCTCTCTCTCTCTCTCTCTATCTCTCTCTTTCTTTCTTTCTCTCTCTCTCTCTCTCTCTCTCTCTCTCTCTCTCTCTCTCTCTCTCTCTCTCTCTCTCTCTCTCTCTCTCTCTCTCTCTCTCTCTCTCTCTCTCTCTCTCTCTCTCTCTCTCTCTCTCTCTCTCTCTCTCTCTCTCTCTCTCTCTCTCTCCTCCCTCCCCATGCATACATTATGGTGCGCGCGGCTCGGGACAGCCGACGCCCGGCAGGCTCTGCTCTGAAGGACGCCGTGTCCTAAATATGAGGCTATTATGTATGCGTGCCAGCGCGGCGACGCCATGAATGCTTTTAGTGCGTTTGTCGTAACCTTGTGGAACAAATAATGATTTAACGTTATCTTTGGAGCGATTTTAGACTTAATTCCTACATACTTCTAAAAGTACCGCAGCTTGCAATAAATTTGGTAGAATTATGAGACGTGGGGATCGGGGAAGGGTGACTTTACTCCTATTCACAGTACTAGCACAGGCGCACGGAGCCCTGCATTCTGCAATGACATGCAGGCAATGAACGTTGGAGTCGAGCCGTGACGCTCGAACCAATGGGCGACCAGCCGGAGATGCGCTCAGGTTTTGCTCTTCACCCTGGAAGGAGATGGACGGTGCAATGGTGGTCCGTCATCGATTACGACCAGTCCGGATCTACATATGTACATATGCTGGGTGCATCAGCTCAGGCGTCGGGTGTGGCAATGATTAAGCGCCACCTTCCAACGGTAACATCGTCTAATGCAATCATCTCTCAACTTCTGTCAGTTTCGTCCATGACATCCAGTCAGGTGATAAAAGAGCAGTTGACAGTATCAACGGACAGGTGGTAACTGGTAAACCTTTCGCGAGTCGCGATGGAGGCGCGACAGGGGTGACATATCGTGCATATCTTGCGATGGAGACGTAACAGTGACGGGATACCGGGCAGTGTTGCCAATCGGGTCTAGCAAGACCTGGTGGAAATGTGAAGGCAAAAGGTAAAAGGTCGTCAATCTTTACGGCGTTGGTAAATATATATAGGTAAAACGGTGTGATAGTGATTAGATATTAGATAGACTTTTTAACGAGTTCTACGAGCGGTTTTAGGAATATCTATAACTGGAATGAATGACATGTTATCTACGAAAGCGTAACATGGCTGAAGGTGGTAGTTGATCGGCGAACTAATCTGTTCTCCATTCCCTATGTATGTAGTGTGGAAAACTTCGTGACCGGCCGTCCTCACATCGCCACTCCGAGCAGCGGGGCCGCCCGGACTCGGAGAGCGCGGCCAAGGTTGCGTCGGCCTGACGGCAACACCGGAGGCATAGACACGGCACGACGGAGCTGCACCTCTGGACCAGTCGACCACCGAAGACAGCGCGAACCAAGGCCAAGAGAACACGGCGGCCGGACGACGGTGCCCGAGGCAGGAGTGTGCCGCCCGGCCCGAGCGGTGGGGCGTGTGACGTCACGAGGCGCGCCCGGGGTGGGGACTGCGTCGGGGCTGGGCTGCTAAGAGCCTGAGGCTACCCGGCCCCTGGTCCACTCGTCGACGACAAGATGGCGGTGCCGTGTAGCTCCTCCTCCCGACGGAGGACTGGGGAGGAGGCGAGGTTGGCCGTGACCGAGTCGTATAAAAAGCGTGTGTTCGGCAGTTCGGGGCTTCACTTCCTTTCACTTGGGAGCTATTCTCGTGGGAGCTCTCGCGCATTCGTGGTGGTGACGCCGCTCGCGGCTGACGTCTCGACACTTCTCTCACAATGTAAGTACCTGGGGCCTATCTTCCACCCAGTCGGAGGTCTCTGACTGAAATCTTGCACTGCCCTAGTCGCGCCCCTGGCCAGCTGGCCGGCGGAGCGAGAGGGTTTGAGCCTGACTTCGGATCAAGTCTCGGCTGAGGTCGGAGATATGTCTCAGGCACAGACACTCACATATACACACACCGGCGTAGGAAACAACACTTTAGGATTTGGCCGCGGTACTGTGAACTGGGTACTGTGAACTGTGAACTGTGAACTGTGACAAGAGCGACAGGTTGGTTTACATGTCACTGTGAGTCGTGACTGTGAGACACGGTCTTTGGGACTTGACTCATTCCATTTCGGCTCTTCCGCTTGACATTTGGCTACTATATGAGTCAGTCCCACCCCTTTGGCAATATCGAATCGGTGTTATGATTTGGCTGGGTCATCGTTTCGGTTTTTTTGTTTCGGCACTTTGGCTATATTTACTTTAGCAGTGCACGGTTACCGTGACATTGCTCGTTTTCTGGCTCTTTTTGTTTGAATTGTTCGCTTTTATTTATTTCGGCCTTTTCAATTACAATACATAATTAATATGTATACCTTCTACGTTCTTTCTCGAGGTTGGAAATGATTGTGGAAACGCTGGCAATATGATGATTCGGACACGAACGGGTTTGTGGGACACATGGTTTTTGGTCGATCAGAATACCCCTAGACAACGGCTAAAGGATTGTTGAGTGTTAAGACGATACCCCTAGACAACGATGAGTAGGATTGTGCAGATGACACAGATTAGAATACCCCTAGACACACGAGGAATATTAGCAGAAGCTACCACAACAGCCAGTAGGCGGGCCTGAATCCATCCTTACACCCATCCTTTACCCACTCTACATCCTCATCCTTCTCCCAGTCATCCTTATCCTTGTCCCCATCCCAAACACTACTTATAAATTCACAGGATAGGCCGAGCAGCCCCCAAGCACTCACCGCACCCGGCTACGGGCGAGCTCGGCTTACGGGCAATCCCAAATGGGATAAAGTTTCCCGTCCAGTCCGGATCAGGGGGTTGCGGCGTGGAGGAAGATTTGAGTTTCCTGAGGATATTTTGAATACAGAAGCTCTTTATGAAACATGAAACATGTATTTTATATTATTTTAAAGGTCAAAACAGCGGCCGATGTCGGTCCGACGTCGCCCCGACGTCGGCCCGACGTCGGCTGGACCTCAGCAATTGATCTCGGTCCGACGTCGGCCCGACGTCGGCTGGACCTCGGCTGGACGTCGGAACATGCGGGCATATCCGACATCCAGCCGAAGTCGTGCCGAGGTTGGACCGACGTCGGGCCGACGTCGGCATGCCGATGCCGAGTTGCCGACGTCACCCCGACGTGGGCCGACGTCGGGCCGACGTCGGCATGTTTACTGGGGTGTGTGTGGGGAGGGGGGTATGTGTCAGGGGTGATATACCAGCTGACCGGAGCCCACCGACTGGTCACCCACCAGCAGCTCTACCCTGGGGTGTGTGGGAAGGGGGGGGGGGTATGTGTGTCAGGGGTAATATACCAGCTGACCGGAGCCCACCGACTGGTCAGTGGTCACCCACCAGCAGCTCTATCCTGGGGTGTGTGTGGGGAGGGGGGTATGTGTGTCAGGGGTGATATACCAGCTGACCGGAGCCCACCGACTGGTCACCGACCAGCAGCTCTATCCTGGTGTGTGTGGGGAGGGGGGGGGGGACTCGTCACCCACCAGCAGCTCTATCCTGGTGTGTGTGTGTGTGTGTGTGTGTGGGGAGGGGGGGGGGGGTATGTGTGTCAGGGGTAATATACCAGCTGACCGGAGCCCACCGACTGGCCACCCACTAGTAACTCCACCTTTAGCTCATTGGTATAGAGAGGAGGGGGGACAGGTCACCCACCAGTAGCTCCACCCTGGGTTTAGTTATACAGGGGAGGGCGGGGCTGCCCAGAGATACTGGGGTCTGGGTTTATTGCTGATCGGTTGTGCATGAGTTGTTTAAGACTCCAAACAGAGGTTAGAACGCGATATTCCCCGATACATCTTCCTACTAAGAGAGAAAACAACCTACTGAATACGGCTTTACTAGTGAATTTCAGACCTTATCAGGTCAGGTAAGTTCAGATGAGGTGAGACGAGCAGTTAGTGAGATCAGGTGCGGTCGGGTCGGGTCAGGTGACGGGCCAGTAAGCACACCTGCGGGACGTCTTCAGCACGCTGACGGTGTGGAAGCGGCCGCCGCCGTTGTAGGTGCCCTCAGAGGTGATGTTCAGCAGTCCGGTACCGCCGTCCACGGTAAGCTCCAGGCGGCCACCCACCAGACGGAGCGAGTACACCTCGGACAGGTCGGCAGAGCCGGCTGCAGACTGCCGGGGGACACGGTCAGTGGGACTGACGGATACTTTCTCAGCCATTCACTGGTACAGACAGCGACACACCGGGGTACGGCCGGCGGGACTGACACTGGCACTGACACCGTCCAAACACCGGCTTCCACAGGACAGTCAGCATTGAGACGCCGCTGTTCATCAGCTGACAGTTCCTCGATGGCGCGACCACCACGCTCACCTGGCCGGCAAACGTTGAGATCACCAGCAGGCCGTCCGGGGCGTCTGCCTTGAACGACAGGCCGAAACTGGCGTTCCTCTTCAGACGGTACGAGTCCGTCTCCAAGTAGCCGTCGCCTTGGAAACTCACAGTCCTCAGCTCCTGAGATGGGGCGCCGCGTCAAACGAATACTTACACAACCTTTGTCTGAGCCCCTTCCCCCGTTTAAGCATCTGCCTGGGAAACAGCACAACCCTTTCTCGGAATCCTTGATCCCTTACATCCACACCTCTTTACAGTAGCCGGGTTCAGTCGCCGTCCCAAAGCTGCTATTGCCGAAGGCGGTTCTGCCGATCCGCAGCCTACACCTCTGCCCATTGTTCACCTCTCCCCTGACTGACCTGTCCGGTGCAGCCGTTGGTCACGCCGGTCGAGTTGCCGCTCCTCAGGTTCTGGGCCGTGTCGATCTGCACGTCCCGCACACAGCCCAGCAGCGGCACGAAGGTCAGCTGCGACCACGGCCGACGGTCAAAGTCGGGCGACACCCCGCCCACGTACAGCTTGGAGGTGTCCAGGTAGAGGGCCAGCTCGGGCGGGCTGTCGCCGCCCACCGGGTTAAACGTGCCCTTCGGACCGTCACCGTTCACCTTCAGTAGGACTGCGGGCAACAGACGGCTTATCTGATTACCCCAAATTGAATTAGAAGTGTTACGGTTCTCGTCATTTCACTGATTATCCCTGATCGCGTGCTCCGATAACAGCTTTCAATATACAAGGAAATTATTGACCTTTTAATCGAACATTAAGTACAAGCAACCAATAACTGATAATTAAGCGATTGAAATCAATCTCTGAGTTCACGTACCCTCCTTCTCATAATAAGTTGCCTCAATTTGCGTCCAGTTGCCCGTATTATGCCTTTGTTTGGATTTAACCACGAGTTCGGCATTCTTGCTGAAGGCGACCCGGAACACGACGAATCCATCGCGCAGTTCCAGACTGAACAGCTGACCCTGCGAAGGGCGACACGGGATTTCGATGGTTGGGCAGCCCAGCGAGTTCCACAGAAACAGACCGCAGTTAGTCGCGTCCCCGCTCAGACAATCCGCTTTTCAGACGATCTATGATTCAGCCACTCGAAAGGTGAATCCATTGGGCTACGGGATAGAATATAAACAATGTTGAAATCGAGTCTGCGCGAGTAACGAGATAACTTGGTCAACACCTACATGAGGCAGAGCCAGCCAGTTATGCTGGTTTGTGTCCCGCTTACCTTCTACCCCGAGAAGACCCAGTGCCAGACACGGGCTTTTCTCGTTGGCCACGAGCAGGAGCAGTGCGTCTGCCGCCTACCTACCTTTTTCTCGTTGGCCACGAGCAGCAGCAGTGCGTCGGGGTCGAAGGTGCGCATCCACAGACTGGCGGGCAGGTAAATGCGGCGCTGGCCGCTACTGGCCAGCGGGGACAGCTCCACGTACCCCTCACCGTCAAACGCGCTCTCCGGCGCCGCCGCCAGTTCGTCGGCTCTGCCGGACACAGAGGGCTGTCACCGGCCGGGATGGTGCGCTGTCTGGACTTACAGAGCAACCCAAACAAAGCCGCAGAGCGTGTTTTGGGCGTCCCTTGGGTAAAATTAATTGAAATTATAGGTTATGCTGCACTAGTGCCTTCATGGGTTTCGTAGCATGACGTAGCTTGATATCAAACACAGTGAAGCATCAGTATGGATCCTCATTCGCCACTCTGCAGCCACCCGCTGCTGACTGGCTGCTTTGACAGGGCTGCCGGGCGGCACTGTCGGCTGACGCCTCACCTGGGACCAGTGCGGCAGGCGCCGCAGTCGCGCGTCTCCTGGAAGTTCCACAGACCCAGCGTCTGGCCGTTGATCGAGACGTCATCCAGGCAGCCGGCAAATCTGTGAACAGGCCCTTAAGTATCAGTTCTATTCAGCATCGGTGCAACACAGCACCCTTGCACACAGTTAAAGACATCACTATGCCGATTAATAAATGTGTCAGTGAGGGAGGGAGTCAATCCACCCCGATGGGAGGGCTCTCTCAGCGAGTCACACCGTCTGACCTGTCGGCGGTGACGGGCGCCGGCAGCGGCCGGTCCCGCGGCGCGCCGATGAACACTGGGTCCTCTCCGGTCAGCTCCAGGACCGTGAGGCCGTCCGTGGCGGCTGCAGAAACCGGGGACGGGTCGGCGCCGCCGCCGCCAGGTTCCATCGGACGCACCAGTAGACGGCCCAGGCTGCCGATCCTGGCAGACAGAGACGGAATGACACGGACGGCGGGACAGAGATGGAACGACACGGACGGAGGGACAGAGACGGAATGACACGGACGGCGGGACAGAGACGGAATGACACGGACGGAGGGACAGAGACGGAATGACACGGACGGAGGGACAGAGACGGAATGACACGGACGGAGGGACATAGACGGAATGACACGGACGGAGGGACAGAGACGAAATGACACGGACGGAGGGGCAGAGACGGAATGACAGAGACGGAATGACACGGACGGAGGGACAGAGACGGAATGACACGGAAGGAGGGACAGAGACGGAATGACACGGACGGAGGGACAGAGATGGAACGACACGGACGGCGGGACAGAGACGGAACGACACGGACGGAGGGGCAGAGACGGAATGACACGGACGGAGGGGCAGAGACGGAATGACACGGACGGACGGGCAGAGACGGAATGACACGGACGGAGGGGCAGAGACGGAATGACACGGACGGAGGGGCAGAGACGGAATGACACGGACGGAGGGACAGAGACGGAATGACACGGACGGAGGGACAGAGACGGAATGACACGGACGGGATGATAGTGACAGCAGAGGCAACAGACAGAAATTCGACACAGACCGACCCACCAGTTTAAAGTAATGGTCGAGTTATAGGGTGAAGATCTTCCACGATTATTATTCTTATTTGTGGATTCGTGAATTACTGTTTATAAAAGTTTGAGCGGAATTAGCTATGGCTGATCGCGGGAGCGAGCCCTCCTCCCTGCTATGTGTCGCTGACCTGGTGGCCTCGATGCTGTACCAGCGGTCGTCCCACAGCAGCTGCTCATTGTTCGTCTCCAGCTTCAGCGGGTGAATGACGGACTGCGTGGAGCCGCCGTTATTCCACAGAAACCGCACACGGCGGTCCACCATCTCCACCGCCAGGAAGTCACTCTGGAGAGCGTGAAACATACATCGTAGATCAGCATGCATAGGGAAGGCACTCTGATTAAGTTCCACCACCGCCAAAGACCTCGCACGTGAGTTTTATGTGGCGTTTGATTTGGCACTCAGTCAACCAAAAGTTGGTATAATCATTGTCTGCCCGACCCTGACACCCAATCCCCGCTCCCCCGCTCCCTCCCAGCACCGCGTGGGCCCGCTCAGTGTCCGTTCGGCGTTCCTGTGACGGTCGCCGCCCACCTTTCCCGTCGCTCCAATGAAGAGCAGCAGGGCGTCGGTGATGGCGGGCTCGGAGACGGCGTACCGCAGCCGGAGCGCAGACGTGGCGCCCGGCTGCAGTTCCGACACACGGTACCGACGCGAACACGATGTGCCGTTCGAGGTCAGAGAGACGCGGATCTGCCGGCCGCGGGGTCAAGGTCAGAGGGTCAGTTCGAGGTCAGCGAGACGCGGATCTGCCGGCCGCGGGGTCAAGGTCAGAGGGTCAGTTCGAGGTCAGAGAGACGCGGATCTGCCGGCCGCGGGGTCAAGGTCAGAAGGTCAGTTGGAGGTCAACGAGACGCGGATCTGCCGACCGCAGCGACACCAGCCCGGTCAGTTCTTCACAGCCAACTGACAGTTCTGTCATCCGATGACTGATCGCATGTGAACTGGCGCCGATTAGTACACGCAGACTCTTACAAGCTTCACGACTTCGGTAGGTGTCAACATAATCATACTGCGATTCGGGTGTGTGGTCGTAGTTATAGCAAGAACACGCGAGTAACGCTGATAGAGCTTACCTTCGATGCTGCTTGGCGCGTCTTCAGTATCTTGTTTTTGAGCTGCTCCAGCTGCAGTTTGGCGTCCTTAGTGGACTGGGTCGCCGAGTCCGCCCTCTCCTCCACCTGGATCGCCAGTTTGGCCGCCTCGCTGATGATCTCGGCCGCCTCGTCCACTGGGAACGGACAGCCAAATGGACGTTAGACGGCCGACAAATCGGGGCTTCTTGCTGCAGTTTCGGTATGAACGTAGAAAATAAGAGGTGTGATAAGCTGTATAGGATAAGCGTTAATGAGTGTAAAGTAAACCATGACGTAGGATAAACGTATAAATGGTGTAAATTAAAGAACGTTGAAACAAAGAATAAATAGCATATCGTCCTAACTGGCATGCACGTGCGCCCTGCACTGCTCACCCATCTGCAGTCCGTCGTTGACCCCGGCTTCCGACTGCCGCTGCAGCTTGTCCAGGCCGGGCCGGAGCTCCGACTGCAGCCCGCTCTCCACCTCCCCAGTCCGCGCGTCCACCGCCGCCGCCTTGGCCAGGGCGGCGCGCGCCCGCTCCGCCGCAGCGGCCACCGAGCGGGCCAGCTCTGCGCCGACGGCGGGCGGTCAGACCGGCCGACTGGGGCTCCTCAGATAACACGGCAGTGTTTGGTGACGCGAGAGCTAACGGTAACATATTCATAGCCCCACACACGCACAGACGATACAGGCAACCGATCCTAGTTTGTGACTAACCGGTAGAGTTGAGCTGTTTCAGTTCTCGTTGAATGACATCATTTTGACTCCGGACATCTCGCACGGCGTCGCTGACTCTCTGCAGACTCGTCTTGTTGCCGGCCAGGTCAGCGGATAATGCATTCACCTGGTGAAAAGGTTAAAACTGTCACGTCTTATTCATGGTCTGTCACGTCTTATTCAATCGAAGGAATGACGATGAACTTACAATACTGACAACGATTTAACCAATCAGTAGTCGATTATCACCAACTGCAGATATTCGTGCTTCACTGATCAGCTAAAAGATAAAGTTACCCAAATGTTTTCATGATCCCATGCTGTAGATATTCAAGTGTTTTGACAATTGCCTACCGGTGCATTGCCACGATATGTTCCAGTTCGACAGTGACGATAATCGTCTCACCTGGCGTCCCAGCTGTTCGGCCGCCTTGAGAAGCTCCTCCGATTTATCTTTGGCCTGTTCTCCTTGTGAAGTCAGCGATGCAGTATCAACCAGCCCCACCTGAAGCAAAAAAGTCAGCAGACTCCTTGGACAGAGCTTGGGAATTAGATCACACATTGTGCGCCAAGCTGCTGCTAAAGTAAAAAATCAACATCATTTCAGACTTGTATGTGTATTGTGTAAATATCTCCTAAGCCAACTTAGGCGTACCAGAGGCTTATAAGTCATATCACACCCCAAGGAAACGGATGATCACAGGTCCGGCACCAGCACCACCCACCTGTTGGTTGGCGGCTCTGGCTGTCTCGTTCGCGGCCTCCAGGATGTCCACTATCTCCTGGTAGGCCCGGGCCGCCGCCAGCGACGCGTTAGCCCCCTGGCGAGTCCCCTGGAACAGACTGGGACGGAGCGACCGGTCGCCAGCGTCACAGCCAGGGACACCAGTCAGACGGACCACTCACTACATAAAGCCGAATGGGCCAGCTGGTCTCTCACTACACAGTCATGGAGATGCGGGTTCGCTGAAACAGCTCACCCGGCCAGTTGTTCAGGTATACCAGCTCACCTGGCCAGCTGCTCGGCTATACCATCTCACCTGGCCAGCTGCTCAGGTATACCATCTCACCTGGCCAGCTCCTCAGCTATACCATCTCACCTGGCCAGCTGCTCGGCTATACCATCTCACCTGGCCAGATGCTCGGCTATAACTGCTCAGCTATCCAGCTGCTCTGCTATATCTCACCTGGCCAGCTCCTCGGCTATACCAGCTCACCTGGACAGCCGTTCTCTATACCAGCTCACCTGGCCAGCTGCTCAGGTATACCGGCTCACCTGGCCAGCTGCTCAGGTATATATCATCTCACCTGGCCAGCTCCTCGGCCTGCTGGTTCAGCTGGGCGGCGTGCGCCTCGGCCGGCAGCAGGTACTCCTGCACGAAGTCGGGGCTGAGCTGGGACAGCTCGGCCATCCGCCGCTGCAGCTCCGAGTCGTTCGCAGACACCCGCTGCAGCTGGTCCCGCAGGTCCGTCAGGTCCTGTTTGCAGGAAATACGACGGTGGTGACACATGGATTGGAAGACGATTCATATTGCTGTCAGCAGTTTCGAGGTACGATGGCGATAATGCATGGTGCTTCTTGATTGCGAGGGTTTGCATTGTTTCTAATAAATCATAGTCCATAGAGGATGACTAGCCCTCAGACAGATCTCGTGTCTTAGTGACTCGCCTTGAGACAAGTTTTCAGTCTAAGTGACTTTCTTGAGACAAGTTATCATTTAGACATTGCCACTGAGTCTTGTATGTATTTGTTTACTAACGATGGTCTGTCCCTGCGCCTGATCGTACAGCCTCCTAAGCGGGAGCAGTGCGTCGCTGCTGTTGGCTAGCAGACCCTCCACAGCCTCAGTCTCATTGCTGAGCAGCTGCTTCCGCTGATCCAGGCGCAGCAGTCGGGCTCTCAGATCGTCCAGCAGCGCCTCAGTCTGCGGTCCAGCGGGGAGTCTGAGTTAGATAAAAGTAACGCTACACCGGATCGAAGGGAAATGAAATCGGTACGGAGTACGGTGCGTGACTAAGTTATCAGCAGATATAAAAACATTCGATCAAACAAAAGGGTCTCTAGGATACCTGCCCGCCCTGAACGTTTGGGGATTACGTAAGCCCTTTTGTTTTCCCATGTGACAGGTTCCATGTTGTTCTCTCCCCACCCGAGCAGGTTGGTCCGTACCTCCGTGACGGTTTGCCGCGCGCCCTCTATGAGCCGGCCCATGTCCTGCAGCTTCTCCTGCAGCCGCTCCAGCCTGGTCCGCGGCTCGCTCAGGGCGGTGCCGTTCGGCTCCAGGGCGCGCACCCTGTCCAGGAGCCGGCCCACCTCCGCCAGCTCGTCGTCCGCCCTCCGCTGGGCGTTGGTGAAGTTCCGCCGCCGCAGCTCCTCCAGGATAGCGGAGGCCTCGCGCAGCGCCTGGTCCACGCTGGTGGACGGCGAGCCGCCGCCCATGTACCGCTCCAGGTCCGCCATAGTGCCTGCCGGCGGAGAGGGACGGGAGTTTACACAGCTTGACAGGGAAAACAGCTGCATATAGTCGCTTGTACACCATCTGTAGCTTGTATGGATGACCTCTCCTAACAGCCCTCAGCTAGGTTACCAGACAAGGCACAACAATCTTGATTTTATGTAAACAGGTCTGATATCATTCAAGTTCGAAACAGGACAACATAAGTTGCCATAGCCGTATGAACTCAGAGTCACATACCATCAATCATCGCCTTTGCTTCGGCGACAGAGTCGTTGATGGCTTTCAGTTGGTTCAGCAGCTCTTCTGTTTCGCTCAATTTGTTCGGCAGAGATGACACGAAACTTTCGGACTGAAAAAACAAACGTCAATCACGGTAACAGAAAATCAGAACATGGATCCACCTTTTAGTCAAAATAACAGTAACAGAATTATTTTCGACAAAGAATACTTTTCGAATGCTTATAACCTGTTCTCGCTCGCCAGTTCACCCCGTTCAGTTAGGTACCTGCACCAGGAGGTTTTCGGCCATCGTGTCCAGGTCGAAGGAGTCGTTCAGCGCCTGTAGGCCGACTCTGACTCCAATGTACTCAGTGAGCTCCTCGTCCAGTCGCTCTGTCTCGTTACTGATGGTGTACAGGGTGTCCCAGGGGGCGCCGGCCGAGGAGGGCACGTCCACGGCGGCAGCGAGCTCGGACAGCGCGTCCAGGTCAGCCAGCAGCAGACCCACGCAGCCGTCCTCACACGCTGGAGGCGGAGACAGACGGTCAGGGGGCAGTGGAGGGTCGGGACACGCGGACAACAGTCCGGGGACACGCGGACAGCAGCGGTCATCGGCGTCCGTTGGCACTCCTCGGGGCTCGGTTAGCACGATGGTATCGGTTCACGAACCTCTTACTTAATGGCTAGCTTTATCAGCGCTAGATAACGTTAGTATTTGATCACAATCGCTGCAAACGTCCACATCACTCTGAATCTCAACAAAGTGCATGTGTCCTACCGCAATATCTGATTCCACCCTGACACCGTGGCAGGTCGTATTAACCATAATCACCGCGGTCCGATGCCTCGATAGCCTGCCGCCCTATCCCCGGCCCGTCTGTCTCACCCTGGCAGCCGCGTGCCGTCTGCACGTGTCTGGGCGGACAGGCGGTGCAGTCGCGGCCCGTGCGGCCGGCGCGGCACGGACACTGTCCCGTGGTCGGGTCGCAGTGGTCGGCCACACTGCCGGCCCGGTCACAGCCGCACGGCACGCAGCCCACAGATGGGTCGCGGGCGTCCCCGTAGTAGCCGTAGTCGCACCTGGACGGACGGATGGCAGAGAGCCCCGGTCAGAGTCAGCCACTACATGCAGTGAACTATGCAGTAGACAACAACAGCATATTGAAACGCATTATGTGTGCACGAATGGGATGGTTGGTGCTGCTAAGGTGCTCCCGTTCATAGGACATGGTGAGGCTGAACCCGTAAAACACCAATCACATACCTACTATTCCCTGGGAGCCGGATACCGATACGGGTTCATCCCCTGTTCTGACCGTACCCACCGGTCATAGCCCTCCCCTCTACGATAGTAAGGTACAGGTCTCGCGGGTTTTAGCGGTAGGTTTTGCACCTAGAAAATTTAGTACTTCAGTATTCAGTATTTAGTACTTCAGGCTATATCTTCGTCGTCTTAAGCTTTTAAGTGTTGAAGATGCGATCGACTTGTTGGGTAACAAGCCGGCAATGATCGTGTAAAATGGCTTCATCGTAGATTGACTAGTTTCTGAGATATAACCGGAAATGTAAAAGTGCAAAACCTACCGCTTAATCTCGCGAGACCTGTACTTCTGCTCTGACTGCACCCACCGGTCACAGCGCTGGCCGTAGTAGCCGGGCAGGCACTGGCACCGGAACGCCACCCTGTAGTCCCCTGTGCAGCCCACGGCATTGGAGACGGTCTCGGTGGGACAGAGGCAGCGCCGGCAGCCGCCGCGGTCCGCCGGGTTCCCATAGTAGCCGACCGCGCAGAGCTCGCAGTTCCGGCCGGCAGTGTTGGAGGTGCAGTTCTGGAACACAGCGAGGGCCCCCGGGCGCGTAAGAGGGTCACAGGGCAACGACAGTCAGAGGGAGCGGCCAACAGGACGGGGTCGAAAAAAGGTTAATTGTATTGCATTGTATTGTGTTGCATTTAAGAGCGATCAGCATTCCAAATTGCATGGTAATAAACCTTCGTCGAGTATTTACCAATGTATGAGCCCAGGTGCTATTTTCCTTCCCTTTGGTGCCTGTATTGAGACGTCTGCTGAGACCCAATGTCGACATCATCTAATGTTGACAGACGGCGGCGCTGGGTGACACGGGACCCCCCCCCCCTCCCTCAGTACTGAGTTTATCTCAGACAGCGGTGTCGGGCCACACTTCCCCCTGTTACTCAGCGCAGTCTCACCTGGCAGACTCCGGTGTCCGGGTGGCACGTGGTCGCTCGGCCGTTACACTGGCACTCTGCCACGTCCCCAATCAGGTCAATGATGATCTGACTGCTGCGCTCCTCGCTGGTAAATGTTCGGTAGAACCCTATACTCGGGTCCTGCGGGAACAGCGCAGTCGGGGGGGTGTCAGCTGGACTTTGCCGAGTGGGCGTCACTGAGTCAATATGTGTCAGATAGTAAATAAGATGGTCGATATGGGTAAAAAAGCTGCCGTCTGCAGTCCTGTCTTGCGAAGTGTATTCAATAAACACCTACATGAATAAATACAAAAAATGACAGAAATACAACAAATGAATCAAATGTGTGTCCCAGCTACTGATGAGGTCATAACGCCAAGCCGGCTGTGTGCGGAGAGCTCACCTGACAGGAGGAGCCGCTGTACTGAGCCGGACAGGCGCAGCGCTCTATGCCCAGCGCCGTGTCGCCCGGCCGGCCGTACGTCGGCTCGGCCATGTCCCAACTGATGTCCCATATCCTGGGGCAGACGGCAGACGCGTCAGCCAACCATTGTCCAGACCAGCATACAGAGACACAAGTTCGCCAGAGCTGGAGCTACCAGACAGAGCCTGATATGAGTGAATACGGGTGTGCTTATTTCATCTCCAAAGACACAGGCCCTCTAGAGCAAGAGATTAGAGCTAGAGTTAGGTATTAGCTAGAAAGTTTGGTATACCTACGCCTAAGTGTGCTTATTCTATCCCAACGTTTGACTGTTTGAGAGTGTACATCAGTCTGTCTTCTGCATATTTTTTTTTTAAATTGCGTTGGCTCACTCTGCTTTGCGTGTGTCGATGGCGTCCGTGGCCCTGACGAGCACCAGAGTGGTGTTCTGTAGCGCCACCATCAGAGTCTCCCGGCTGACCGGGGCCGAGCCGTCCCCCTTCCGGCGCCACAGCGACTCGTGGAACCTGACAACCGAGTACGGATCAGTGGGGTACCGGGGGTACAGAGGTACAGAGCCGTCCCCCTTCCGGCGCCACAGAGACTCGTGGAACCTGACAACGGAGTACGGAACAGTGGGGTACCGGGGGTACAGAGGTACAGAGCCGTCCCCCTTCCGGCGCCACAGAGACTCGTGGAACCTGACAACGGAGCACGGAACATCAGAGTACAGAAAAGGGTCGCCAATGGCACACAGCGTGCGCCGTTACTGTGCACCCGTTCAAGGACACAACAGCTTACTGGATTCCCATTTACATTTCCCCTAAAAATGTCTTCCGTAAGCACAGCTCAGGTAAATGCGGAGTCCGTGCTATTTACGCTATAGGTATAGCTCATCACTGTGCAACAATTACTTCCCGATGGCCTTACTTTGGGATTCCTCTTCTAAGTCCAGCCGCGCCTCTCTGTGCCCCGAATACCCACCTGACGGTGTGCAGGCCGTCGGGGCCTGGCCGGTCGTCCTCGGGGAAATACTCCAGCACCAGCCGGCTGTGACCCTGAAGCTGCACCAGCGGGTAGGAGGCCAGGACGGCGGCGGGGAACGGCCGCACACCGCCCTCAGTGCGCAGACGGAACCGCAGTTCACCGTTGTAAGAGCGGACCTGAGGGAGGGGCCGACAGGGGCGTCACGGCACATGAAGTCAGGCGATGGATAGAGAGTGAGAATCTAACTAGCACAGAACCTTTAATCATATGGATGCAGTGGAAGCCTGTCCATCACCGTCACACTGACAGAGTAGGTAATTGAAGAGCTGTTTAGACGGTAGTAGCCACTAGCCAAATAATTTTTTTTTCGAGAAACATGCTACCACCCGGACATTTATCAAGTAGCTACCCGCAGATGCCGGCAGATGAGTAGGTGAGTCTCGCCCTGTGGACCTGCTCGTCCACCCCGCTGGCTGCTCTATCCGCCGCCGGTGAGACTCGCCTTGTCGCCGAGGAACTGTGGCGGCAGCTCCCAGTAGACAGGCGTGTCTAGCGGCTGTCCGAGCCCCAGCTGGACATCCCCGCTCCGCTCCGGGATCACCCGCAGCGTGTTGATGATGTCCAGACGCGTCTGACCCGGACCCAGCGTCAGGGAACGCTTGTCGGGCAGCGTCAGCTGGTGGTGGGAGACAGGTCAGGTCAGCAGGTGGGTCAGCGACAGAAGTCAATTCACTTCATACATTTGGAAACAGACTAGGCAGTCAGGCTAGTTGGTGCTGAGCCGTTGGACGGCTGCACTTTTGAACCACAGATTCGCTCCCAGAAGGCGTTCATAACACAAATAACTGGAATCAATAAATGCCAATGAAATAGAAAAACAGCTTTGAAGTTATAATTCGGCAAATGTAAAACACTTGAGACGTTGCTTCTTGCGACATCTAGCGGCAATTGAACGGCGTCAGACAACCAAAACCACGATAAGACATACATCATGAAACTCAGACGAATGTGTTTCAAAATTAGTCACAAACACTAAAAGCACTGGCAGGAAGGCGGCTGCCATATTTTTTAATGTTCATTTTTGCCACTTCGGTGAAGCATCATGCTACAGAGTTCGCTCATAGGTCAGCCATTCCACACAGCAGCATCTGAGGTTTATGATACAGTGGTGGGGAGAATGGTTTACATTCGCTCGGTGGCACCACTCCCCAACAGTTGGATCATCACAGGCAGGCCACAGCATGACGGCTAACAGGGATTGTAACAGCACAATGCAGCGCGCTGGTGTCTCGGGCAGCGGCAGCAGCCGCAGGTGAAACCAGTGGGAGCAGCATCGCAAAGCGCGACACAAGGGTCGAGCTGCATGCAGATACACGTCTGTAATCGGCGGTGTGCTCGATATATTTCGACAGTTGAACTTAGATGTTTGACTTTCAGTTCAGGTAGCTTCAGGTAGCAGCAGCAGCAGCGGCGGCGGCAGCGTGTTACGATTGGCGAGGCGAAGGGGAGCCAACTGACGAGCCTCTAATGTCCATGTCCCAGCATTGGTCGCTCCGAGACAGAGCCCGGTTACTCGTTGTTGCGAGTCTGACTTCCATCAGTCATGCCTCCGCTCCACCCGTGTTAGCCACATTATACGGAGGCGGCGTTGTCAGCGGCGGCTGCCGCCTAAAACCCTGCTATCTCAGCGCCACATACGTGAATGTAGCAGATCTCTTCCGTGCGCCACAGAACGAACGGGTACGTCTCGACCGTCTCGTACGTTTCGTCGTACTCGATGATCACCGAGCGGTTCGTCCTTACGACAAAGAGCTGAAAGATCGGGTAAGCCAGACACCTGTCTTGACATTGTATCAGCTGTGATTGCAGACCATAAGGCATGCAAACATTGTGTGTAAAGGTCATTGGAACGACTCGATCTTAGCACGGCATTAAACCCTGGTTACACTTGCAGTAATCTAAATCATGGCCAATGGCTTTGATAAAAACATTCTTAGAATGTATAACAGGGTCTTAGACCAAACATTGAAAGCAGACTTCAAAGTCTTAGGAATCGACTGTGCCAAGATTGGCAAAATTGTACACCATCTGAATCATTCGACTGAAAAGGCGAGCATCGATCAGACACCAACCAAACAGCAACAGCAATTCAAGACTGAAATAATCATCATGATGCAAATTACAAGACAGCAGATATACAAGTGGCAAAACAAGCGTATGAAATGGAAGAAAAATATAGAAAAAAGTGAAAAAGACACAACTTCCAAGACGACGAGAAGTCGCTACGCTTCACGATGCATGACACTTACCATTTAGCTGCATACTTAGTAGCTGATAAGTGTCCCTCAGTGTAATCTGGTGTGGACAACCGACAAGGATGGTTGGCGACTCACGACTGCGAGATGTAGGCCGCATCGGTACGTACCGGCACCCAGGTGAACTCTGCCTGCGAGCACTGTAAGCTCCCCGTGAGGGCACTGTAAGGGGGGGGGGATGTTCCGTACCGGCACCCAGGTGAACTCTGCCTGCGAGCACTGTAAGCTCCCCGTGAGGGTACTGTAAGGGGGGGGGGATGTTCCGTACCGGCACCCAGGTGAACTCTGCCTGCGAGCACTGTAAGCTCCCCGTGAGGGTACTGTAAGGGGGGGGGGGTCCGTACCGGCACCCAGGTGAACTCTGCCTGCGAGCACTGTCCACTCCTGGTGAAGCAGAAACAGGCCGTGCAGCCGTCCGGATTGTCGGCGCTCAGACCGAACGTGTTGGGCGCGCACTGGTCGCACCGGGCGCCGCGAACATTCGTCTGAAACAAACCCGCTCTGTCATGCCGATGGCATAAAACATCTGTTTGACGCGGTATACAATTATATAACGTTCTAAGAGCCAACACGTGGAAAATTCATTTTTACTTATAGCTGGAAAAATAAAGGTTGGAAACATGAAAAAACGCAAAAGATAGCGAAAGATTAGAAACGATATCGTTCCCACAAACCTTGCAGTAGCAGCGTCCCTGTTGGTCGCAGGGACAGTTTCCCTCGTTGTCGCAGCCGGCGGTCCCGGCCGGGTCACACTGGCACCGCCGACAGCGGGGGAACGAGTAGAACCCCAGCGAGCAGCGCTCGCACCTGTAACAGACACAGCGAGCAGCGGTCACACCTGGAACAGACCAGCGAGCAGCGGTCACACCTGTAACAGACACAGCGAGCAGCGGTCACAGTCCTGGAACAGACACAGCGATCAGCGCTCGCACCTGTAACCAGTTCGGTGTGTGCTGATCATTTGTGCGACAATTCGAACACCTGACGTAAAGAAAAAAAAATACAAAATATATTTGAAAACACAAAAACCGAGACAGTCTATCGAAAAAGGGATCCTCGACCGCATGACACCCATTCACTCATCCATTCAATCATGCCTACATTCATTCATTCATTCATTCATTCATTTATTCATTCATTCATTCACTCATTAATCCGTTCATTCATTCATTCATTCATTCATTCATTCATTCATTCATTCATTCATTCATTCATTATTTATTCATTCATTTGCATGCACTTGTGTTTGAAATCCATTCATTCATTTGCTTTTTTCATCATCCATTGACAAATATATCCCAATATATCTATGAATGGCAGCGATTCAAGATGTTTCGTATCATATCAGGCCTGATGTCAGTACGCCAGTTCTAATCCCAAATATGTGCCAAACTTGATAAGACAGATGACGCATAGGGGACACCGGTGGGCGCCCGACCGCCCCGGACAGTCTGGCCGGCGGATAAGCGGCCTCTCGGTGGGACAGGGCACTTGACTCGGCACTCGACATGACCTGGGACGGCCCCCGACAACAGGGCCACATGGTGTGGGGGCACTACGGCCGCCCTGTGGGACCGCGTGCTATAACTGATGTCCTCACAGTGACGTGTTCTGTCTCTTCTCGACAGCGGCGGGTGGGCAGTGCACCTCCAGCTGAGGGGTAAGGATCAGAGGGATCAGGGCGGCTCCTCATTGAGCCGAGGCCAACACCGTGACCGGACCTCCCGCTGGCAGAACGTGTCACAGCGCCCGCAGCGAAACTGTACCGGGGGCGCTGGGTTATCCCACCGGGATGGACACGCCCGTCCACTGATAGCAAAACAATTTCGGTGATAAGAACGAAAAATCAATACCTTTAGCTCATACACAAGTCAAGGCATTAGGCATAGGTACCTATTGCGCCAGTTCAGATGACCGTTCAACTGAGGGCCAGAACTCAAATTGGTAGGCACGGTAAAATGTCCGTGAAGTTAGCGTCAGCAACAGCAACGAATACAGCGTCGGATTCAGAATCGCTTAAAAAACTCATATTAGGTCAATTGGGGGACGGGGAGCAAGAATATGACCTTTATTTGGCCCTAGCTCTTACCCCTTACCCCTTAATCGGCCCTTAAAGGAAGGGGCGCGTCAAAAGTGCCTCAAGGGTTCGTCTGATCGCCAAAATAAGGGTCGCAATCGATTCCTCGGGTCAATATCTAGCCGCAGCCTCGGGTTCCAGATGTGTGCAACTTACCCCTTACCCCTTAATCGGCCCTTAAAGGAAGGGGCGCATCAAAAGTGCCTCAAGGGTTCGTCTGATCGCCAAAATAAGGGTCGCAATCGATTCCCCGGGTCAATATCTAGCCGCAGCCTCGGGTTCCAGATGTGTGCAACTTACCCCTTACCCCTTAATCGGCCCTTAAAGGAAGGGGCGCGTCAAAAGTGCCTCAAGGGTTCGCCTGATCGCCAAAATAAGGGTCGCAATCGATTCCCCGGGTCAATATCTAGCCGCAGCCTCGGGTTCCAGATGTGTGCAACTTACCCCTTACCCCTTAATCGGCCCTTAAAGGAAGGGGCGCGTCAAAAGTGCCTCAAGGGTTCGTCTGATCGCCAAAATAAGGGTCGCAATCGATTCCTCGGGTCAATATCTAGCCGCAGCCTCGGGTTCCAGATGTGTGCAACTTACCCCTTACCCCTTAATCGGCCCTTAAAGGAAGGGGCGCGTCAAAAGTGCCTCAAGGGTTCGTCTGATCGCCAAAATAAGGGTCGCAATCGATTCCTCGGGTCAATATCTAGCCGCAGCCTCGGGTTCCAGATGTGTGCAACTTACCCCTTACCCCTTAATCGGCCCTTAAAGGAAGGGGCGCGTCAAAAGTGCCTCAAGGGTTCGTCTGATCGCCAAAATAAGGGTCGCAATCGATTCCCCGGGTCAATATCTAGCCGCAGCCTCGGGTTCCAGATGTGTGCAACTTACCCCTTACCCCTTAATCGGCCCTTAAAGGAAGGGGCGCGTCAAAAGTGCCTCAAGGGTTCGTCTGATCGCCAAAATAAGGGTCGCAATCGATTCCTCGGGTCAATATCTAGCCGCAGCCTCGGGTTCCAGATGTGTGCAACTTACCCCTTACCCCTTAATCGGCCCTTAAAGGAAGGGGCGCGTCAAAAGTGCCTCAAGGGTTCGTCTGATCGCCAAAATAAGGGTCGCAATCGATTCCTCGGGTCAATATCTAGCCGCAGCCTCGGGTTCCAGATGTGTGCAACTTACCCCTTACCCCTTAATCGGCCCTTAAAGGAAGGGGCGCGTCAAAAGTGCCTCAAGGGTTCGTCTGATCGCCAAAATAAGGGTCGCAATCGATTCCCCGGGTCAATATCTAGCCGCAGCCTCGGGTTCCAGATGTGTGCAACTTACCCCTTACCCCTTAATCGGCCCTTAAAGGAAGGGGTGCGTCAAAAGTGCCTCAAGGGTTCGTCTGATCGCCAAAATAAGGGTCGCAATCGATTCCCCGGGTCAATATCTAGCCGCAGCCTCGGGTTCCAGATGTGTGCAACTTACCCCTTACCCCTTAATCGGCCCTTAAAGGAAGGGGCGCGTCAAAAGTGCCTCAAGGGTTCGTCTGATCGCCAAAATAAGGGCCGCAATCGATTATTCGGGTCAATATCTAGCCGCAGCCTCGGGTTCCAGATGTGTGCAACTTACCCCTTACCCCTTAATCGGCCCTTAAAGGAAGGGGCGCGTCAAAAGTGCCTCAAGGGTTCGTCTGATCGCCAAAATAAGGGTCGCAATCGATTCCCCGGGTCAATATCTAGCCGCAGCCTCGGGTTCCAGATGTGTGCAACTTACCCCTTACCCCTTAATCGGCCCTTAAAGGAAGGGGCGCGTCAAAAGTGCCTCAAGGGTTTGCCTGATCGCCAAAATAAGGGTTGCAATCGATTCCCCGGGTCAATATCTAGCCGCAGCCTCGGGTTCCAGATGTGTGCAACTTACCCCTTACCCCTTAATCGGCCCTTAAAGGAAGGGGCGCGTCAAAAGTGCCTCAAGGGTTCGTCTGATCGCCAAAATAAGGGTCGCAATCGATTCCTCGGGTCAATATCTAGCCGCAGCCTCGGGTTCCAGATGTGTGCAACTTACCCCTTACCCCTTAATCGGCCCTTAAAGGAAGGGGCGCGTCAAAAGTGCCTCAAGGGTTCGTCTGATCGCCAAAATAAGGGTCGCAATCGATTCCCCGGGTCAATATCTAGCCGCAGCCTCGGGTTCCAGATGTGTGCAACTTACCCCTTACCCCTTAATCGGCCCTTAGAGGAAGGGGCGCGTCAAAAGTGCCTCAAGGGTTCGTCTGATCGCCAAAATAAGGGTCGCAATCGATTCCTCGGGTCAATATCTAGCCGCAGCCTCGGGTTCCAGATGTGTGCAACTTACCCCTTACCCCTTAATCGGCCCTTAAAGGAAGGGGCGCGTCAAAAGTGCCTCAAGGGTTCGTCTGATCGCCAAAATAAGGGTCGCAATCGATTCCTCGGGTCAATATCTAGCCGCAGCCTCGGGTTCCAGATGTGTGCAACTTACCCCTTACCCCTTAATCGGCCCTTAAAGGAAGGGGCGCGTCAAAAGTGCCTCAAGGGTTCGTCTGATCGCCAAAATAAGGGTCGCAATCGATTCCCCGGGTCAATATCTAGCCGCAGCCTCGGGTTCCAGATGTGTGCAACTTACCCCTTACCCCTTAACCCTCGCACGACCAGGCCATTTCTCATAACACGAACGACCAAGGGGGGGGGTTGTTACGACCCCCCCCCCCCCCCCTGGCGTTTCGAAACGGAAGGTCGTAGAGCTTAGCGGAAAAAACCAACGGATTGCTCTCAACGAGATCTCGCGATTGGTGGTATATTTTTTGGTCCTAGGTCAACATTTGACCTACTTTTGACCGGTCAAAGGTCAAATTTTCGGAAAAATAGACTTTTTTCAACTTTCGGCGGCGATTGCGGCAAAACCGTGGGAGATATCGACTTGAAACCTTCACTATCGTGTTCCTTGATCAATTCTCTATCCTTTGGTATGTATTTCGTTTCCCTAGCTCTAAAAATGGCGCGTTGGGAGCGCCGGAAGTCGGCAAGGTCACAGTCGGCGGCAGAAATTCGAAAAATCAAAATTTAAATTTTTGAAATCTGATTGTATTTTTGGATTTGGGAGGTCCATTTGCTCCCTACAGAAGCTAATATTGCTGCATATTCCCATTGAGGTGACAAGAATTAGCAAAATAGTGGTTCGGGCGCTTTTCAAAAATAGTACCGGACGCTGTTCCTCTTGTGACGTCATACCTCCGTGACCTGACCTGACCCGGTCAAATTTCTTATACCATATAATAGCCAATACTTGCCCCAACATGCATGGGAAGTTTCATCACGATCCATCAACCGATGTCCGTACCACCGGCAGGAAACCTCGGGCGTTGGCACTCAGTTTGTGAAAATCCGGCCGGAGGCTGTACCTCTTATGACGTCATAACTCCGTGACCTGACATGACCCGATCAATTTTTTTTCGGCAAAAGATGCGCAAAGGTTGCCCCAGAGGGTATTGAAAATTTCAGCCCGCTACGACAAGCCGTTTAGCGTGCACTTCGAAAAAACCTCAGGGGGGGTTGATACAACTCCCCCCCTAGGCGTTCTAGGGTTAATCGGCCCTTAACCCTCGCCCTGGCAGGGCATTTTTCATAACACGGCCTGGCAGGGGGGGTCGATGCGACCCCCCCCCTCGCGATTGGCTCCTATGGCACCTAGAAACACCAAATTTGGTAGGTAGGTGGGCCCCCTGGAGTTCTCGCCCCTGTGCAAATTTGGT